GAGAAGACCTGGCTCACAATTGGCATTGCAAATCCCTCCAAAGGTGTCCAGTAGGGTTGAGCCCGGGTTCCTCCACACCAAACCGGTCAAACCATGTCTTTATGGAGCAGGCTGAGTGTGCAGTTTGCGGCTACAACATCCTCCACACTTCTGGTAAGTTTCTCCACAAGATTTTGGAGGGTATTTCTGGATGAGAAGACCAGGCTCACAATTGGCATTCCAGATCCCTCCAAAGGTGTTCAGTAGGGTTGACATCAGGGATCTATGTAGGCAAGGCCATGGATAAAAAAATGTCCACAAGATTTTAGGAATTTGTACCCTTTTGTGAGGTCATGTACTGATGTTGGATGAGAAGACATGGATTACCATCTCCATTTCATCCCAAAGGTATTCAGTAGGGTAGAGGCCAGGGCTCTGTGCAGGACACCTGATTTCCTCCACCCCAAGCTGGCCAAACTATGTCTTTATTGAGCTGGCTTTGTACATAGATTTTGGTGGGATGAAGGGCCCGGCCAGGTTCTGAAACGTTGCCACGCATGATGATATGACCTGCTAGAATGTATAAAAGGATTTTGGTTTGAAGAAAACTTGGAGTGCTGGTGTCCATTTCTTCTGTTTTGCAAGTATTCGGTGGTGCCATCCACGGCCACATCAGCCCCCCCATATATATGGGGCTTCGCGGTCAGGAGTGCATTGGCACTCTCTTTTTAACTGCATTTGTGAGGTGATGTACTAATGTCGGATGGCAAAACTTGGCTCACAATCAGCGTTCCAATTTATCCCTATGGTGTTCAGTAGGGTTGAGGTCAGGTTTCTGTGCAGGACACTCAAGTTCCTCAACCAAACTGGTCACACCATGTCTTTATGGAGCTGGCTTTGTACACAGGGGACAGTCATGTACAGTAGGCTTGAGGACAGGTCAGAGCTCTGTGCAGGACACTCAAGTTCCTATACACGCAACTGGTCACACCATGTCTTTATGGAGCTGGCTTTGTGCACCTGAACTTAATTTCTATGGAACATCTATGTTCCATAAGATGTTCCATAGAGACACTTGAGTGGCTTTTACAAAGCGGTCACACTAGCTTTGAACACAGGGGACAGTCATGGTGGAACAGAAAAGAGTCTTCACCAAACCACAAGGATGGAAGAGCACAATTGTCTACAATGTCTTTGTGTGATAGAGCATTAACAGAACCTTCACTGGAAGCACATGAACTCAACCATTGGGGGGGGCGAACCCAATTCATCCCAATGGTGTCCAGGAGGGTTGAGGTGAAACACCCCAAAAAAAAACCTGGCAATTGAAAATGTATTTTTCCTTTGCAACATATGCTTGTCCTCTATTATAGATTTATTTGGACACTTCTATATGTGGATTCAGGTCAATAAGGGTGTTGGTAGAGAGC